GGGCAACGCGGTCTACGAAAACTCCCTAACGTAGCTAACGTAGCGTACTGACCAACCTTGATACCGACAGATGCAAACATGTCCTACCCCTACCAGAGTCGTATCTGTGTCCTACCGACCCCTACCAGAGTCGTATCTGCTACACTGCCCAGAAGACTGGGCAGTGTAGCGAGCGCCGGCGGAGGGGGGGCTCTTTCAGCGATGACCGGATCGGTGGCCGCGAGAGGGCGCAACGTGTAGTAGGCGTGCTGTAGCGTTCTGTCGGAGTGCGGAGCGCAGGCAGCGGTAGCGCCTGGCTGGCTTGGCGTTCCGCACGGGTTCGGTTGTTTCGTATTGTTTGGCTAACTCTTTACGGTATTCTTTAGTTCTGCTGTTTCACATATTATTTATCGCACTAATTCGTTGCCAAATGCTTTGCTTGAGACGTGCATCTTCGGGCAGGACGCCACAGTACACATCGCGACACTGCTAGCGCGAAAAAGACATTGGCGCTTTCTCGCATTTACTTCGAAAGAGTATTAGTGAGGACGAACTTTTATCACCCGCATTATAGACCCGAATGAGCTTTTTCCCCAGCAATTAGAACTTTGCTGAGATCCTTTGGTTTCTCATAGAAAAACCGGCGATCGCATGTTCGCGCTAACAATGTTGCGTTCTGAGTAGGCGGGAAATCCATCCCCCAGAAAAAAGTTCGGGAAGTCTCTTGAAGGAGACGTCCCAAACGTGTGTAATTCCCTAGATAACGTAGGATAAGCATGCTGATGGCATGATACCTAAACAAATGTGTGCTTTTGTGACCCTATAATTTCGCTGTCACTGTAGTTGTGATCAATGAATTCCGTGGTTGAAGCGCACTACCCTAATGAATTGTTTTAACGTTTGGGAAAACAAAATGGGGCTTACAAAACGGATTATATCTTCTACTTCCGTAGGCTGCATGGAGGTGTCACTGTCGACTCTCGCAACTACTTCCACGGGCTATCGAAGGAATTTCCAGCACTAGCCTTTATCGTGTTTGCTGTTACTACGTAGGGTCTTCAAACAGGACTGAGCGAATAGTTAGAAAAATGTATCCACTCACCAGCTCTGGTAGTAACCACAGTAGATAAATTTTTATTTATCCACTGAGCACCAGCTATATTGATATGTGCGGGCACCAGGACAGACAGATAAATTTTTAATTATACACTGGGCGCCAGCGCACAGACCCAAGGATTCCGGAGGCGATGGTACTTGCTTTTCCCAAGAGCTCGGGAGAGGGGGCTCCCGAGCTCCCCCGTAGTCGGCGCCTATGGCGTTTTGTACCTCTACATTCTCCAACGTGAGGTCATGATCTTGATGAGCTTCGACATCTTCAGGATAAATGACTCAGTATCTTCCGCTGGGCCATAAGACCCTTCAATTTTCTTGCGGTAAAAAAAGAGGCATCTTAGCACCTCTTCATTGAAGAGACGGAGTGCTGTGCCAACCCACATCTTTTTAAAGGGATACTACAACGAAATATCGGCACTCATTTTTTGGTCTATATGTGTTCAAAAGAGCAGTATCACGTGGAACATACCAATATCTTGTTAAAAAAGTCTCGAAAAGGAATTTTAAAACGAATTAAACGATTAGCAAAGAGCACCTGGTGGATGTCGCTAACGCATCGTTTGTAATGCTCGTCTAGGAACCTTGACAGCTAGTGACGGAGGTTGTCTCGTCTCCGGCCACGACGAGAGAAGAAGGGAAGGAGGAACTCCCCTCTTCCCGAGAATAACTTTTGTGTGTCGCAGAAGTCGCTATTGTCCCCCTAGAAGATTATAGAAGATTAACCCGTCACTCAAAATTCGTACAAAAGCAGCCGCTTCGGTGGCTGGAACGACTAGGCCATCCTCTCGACGTCAGCCTCGCCGTAGCTTTGCTCGTCTTGAGACGACCTACGTCACGATTGCGTTGGATGTCACGTGCTCTAAGCTGGGCCTTCTCCGAGCGCTTGCCAGAGTGGGCCGTTTATAACGAAAAATACAGCCACCAGGATCAAAATACAAACGTGCGATTGTCATTTACGGATATTGTGGATCAACACGACGGGAATATTTCAAATTTCGTTGAAGTATCCCTTTAAAGCCGTTAGGAAAAAAAAAATAATTAGCTGATGTGAGGCCATAACCTTTAACGTCACATTTTCAGAGTCACTTCTCCAAGCCTTTCTAATGCAGTCAGCGTGCACAGGACCCTTCGATGTGTCCAAACCAGTGTCTATAAAACCGATTCATCAGATATACTTTAGACTATAGTGAAAAAAGTCTGAAAAAAAAAATGTAGAGGACGACTGTCATGACTGCCTGCATTACATGAAGCAGAGTCTCCCTGTCACTCCTTTTAATGTTGCGGGATCACGACTCACGCCGATCGAACGCGAGAGGGGCACGAAAAAGGGAACGGGCTTTTTTGCAGGACCGGTAGCCACTGTTGCAACCCGGCACGGGCCCCAGGAATTGATGTTAGGGAGGGAGGGGGGGGGGGGGGGGGGGGGGTTCGGGGGGCATTGAGAATATAAGAGTCGTTGCGAATTAAAGGGGTGCTTTCCGAAAAACAAGGGGGAGTACACCCCCGTAGAGGGGTGCACTCCCCCTTGTACGCGTTGTCTACATCCCACTGAACGGCACCGATCACAATCCATTTCACTCAACCATTAAAAAAAAAAAAAAAAAAAACTGCAGCAAAACAAGGCGACGACGCGAACCACGCGATCACAAGCAGTACGACCACACGGCAATCCGAGCGGGGAGGAGCACGCCTGTTACCCGCAGCGCCCCCTGGCGACCTTGCGCGCCGTCATCGCTGCGCCGACCTCCTCCCTCCGTTGCTTCTCGGCGCGGACGACACACTGCCCAGTTCTAGTACACCATACTTTGGGCTGTAGACTTCGTTCCCAACTGATTACAAGCAGTTTCATGGTGTCGAATGAATGCTTTGGAAGCACGCTTCAACACATCGCGAAGCAGCACGGAACAAATGCTCGGCACAGTCCATTTTAGGACTGCCTTCTCGACCTGCAAACCTGCCTTCCACATTTGGCGATTTCATAACATGCAGTAAAGTGGAGATTTGGGCCAGTTGGTTCATTGCAAGCAAAAAGCGCCGAAAAAATACAGGGACACAGACGAAGGGAAACAGGACAAGGCGCACTCTCAACTGATGTTTATTGAAAATTCACACGTTATATAACCACACACACACACACACACAAAAAAATTTTTTTTTTTCTTTTCTATCTACTCAGCTCGCGTTTCAAAAATTCAAACTCATTTGTAGATAAGGATACCGACGTGTCACTTATACAATTCTTGTCTCTGGTCCTAATTGCATACGTCTCGTGTAATTCCCGCGACACTTTATCTTTGTATCTAGCCAAAATCTTGGTGTCATTGAAGGCCGGGGTGCAAGAGCATCTATTGCAATGAATTGCAAGGTGCCCCGAAGGCGTCGTTCTTGTAGAGGCAGCGTGCTCTCGGGTGCGATCATTAACGCGCCTGCCCGTCTGGCCCACGTATGTCATCCCACACGTCATGGGGATTTCAGACGACGCCAGTGGCACATTCAACGTACTTATTTCGATGTTTGGTAGTGCAGGGATCTGAAGATGGCTGTGGTGAATTGATCTGGCGACAAAGTCGCGCCATCTTATTGGGCGCTGAAAAAGCTACCTGTACATTGTAGCGCTGGGCTACCTTTTTCAGATTGTGCGTTACATATATATGGAATGACAACAGGCCTCGTGGTCGGTCTATCGCTATTTGATTTCCGATTACCTTTAATCTTTTTGATTAAGCTTTCTGCCACTTCAACCAAAGCTCTCAACGGAAAACCAGCCCTCTGCAGGCGTTCTATCTGACCCTCGAAGCTGCCTTGCGCACTGTGCAAACATGACTTTCTGAGAGAAAGGGCATAGCCAGTTCGTGCCTGGGGGCTTCTCTCAGAAAGTCATGTTTGCACAGTGCGCAAGGCAGCTTCGAGGGTCAGATAGAACGCCTGCAGAGGGCTGGTTTTCCGTTGAGAGCTTTGGTTGAAGTGGCAGAAAGCTTAATCAAAAAGATTAAAGGTAATCGGAAATCAAACAGCGATAGACCGACCACGAGGCCTGTTGTCATTCCATATATGCACAATGTAACGCACAATCTGAAAAAGGTAGCCCAACGCTACAATGTACCAATAAGATGGCGCGACTTTTTCGCCAGATCAATTCACCACAGCCATCTTCAGATCCCTGCACTACCAAACATCGAAATAAGTACGTTGAATGTGCCACTGGCGTCGTTATGAAATCCCCATGACGTGTGGGATGACATACGTGGGCCAGACGGGCAGGTGCGTTAATGATCGCACCCGAGAGCACGCTGCCTCTACAAGAACGACGCCTTCGGGGCACCTTGCAATTCATTGCAATAGATGCTCTTGCACCCCGGCCTTCAATGACACCAAGATTTTGGCTAGATACAAAGATAAAGTGTCGCGGGAATTACACGAGGCGTATGCAATTAGGACCAGAGACAAGAATTGTATAAGTGACACGTCGGTATTCTTATCTACAAATGAGTTTGAATTTTTGAAACGCGGGCTGAGTAGATAGAAAAGAAAATTTTTTTCTTTTGTGTGTGTGTGTGTGTGTGTGTGTGTGGCTATAACGTGTGAATTTTCAATAAACATCAGTTGAGAGTGCGCCTTGTCCTGTTTCCCTTCGTCTGTGTCCCTGTATTTTCTCGGCGCTTTTTGCTTTCATAATAACTATCCTAAATTTTGCAACACTGAATAGCAGACCGGATAGGCTAAAGGCCGGCGATTCCGGAAATATAGTTAGTTGGGGTAGCTAAAACAATTGCCGTAAAAAAGCTTTACGATGTTTGTAAAACTGGGGGCTCGATAAGAGTAGATTGTTGGGCTAGTTGGTTTTGGAACTTGGAATACATTTTAGCACTCAAAAACAAGGACAAAAAGACGAGAATCAGACACCACAGCGCGCTTGATAAGAGTGTATTGTTTCTTTCCATCTTTCAGTTTTGTACAGGTTTCACAAAATGCCTTTCAAAGGCAATCACAATTCAATAACTTGCATCTATCAGGCGGTTATGCAGAAGTGTAAACGATTTGGAAAAAAAGAATGCCATCTCTTCCTTGCTGACCGATGCTGGGGAACCCCTAGAGCTTGTAATATGTCTTCTAGTTGCTGGAATTGTAGAGCTCTGCTCTGTGCACCGCCCCACAGGTAGTGAGTGCGTGGCCTCAGACCAACGTGCGTCACTAACTGATGTAGCAGTACATCCCTTGTACTTCATAAATATAAATACGTACACAATGCTTCACAAAACAGTGTCCCTTGTGCGAGTCCTTTCTTGATCAGTTAAGATACTCTGTGTTAAAAATATTTGAGTGCAGATGGGGCATTTCAAGAGCCTTTCATAACTGTGAGCCCACATCTATGAAAATGCAACTTTTTGTACTTTAGGGCAGGTGGGGCATATAAAAAAGTTTTTACTTTTGTGATTTGAGACATGAGAAGTCAACTGACCCTTCGTATAAAATTCTTTATGGCAGGTGGGACATTTAAAGGAAATTCCATTCATGAGTGTGTATTCGTGATCTAAAAGGTGACTCTCTGTTCGAAGTGTATTGGGGCTGCCGAGACTCTCAAAGGGAAATTTATTGGTGTGAGTGCTTTCGTGATTAGTTAAGTGACCCTTTGTCAGGAATATTTTAGGGCAAGCGGGACATTTAAAGAGCTTTAAATCAGTGTGATCCACTCGATCAGCATATAACCGCCACTTTTTTCTAAACGTTTCATGGCAGGTTGGGCATTTAAAGATGCATTCATCTCTGTGAGTTCTTACGTGAGCAGTTAAATCCCACTTTCTTAAAAATGCTTTAGAGCAGGTGGGGCACTTAAAGGGTCTTTCGTTCGAGTGACATTTCAAGGGCCTTTCGTCTGTATGGGTCATCTTTTCATGAGAAGTCAATTGGAACTTCATTCGAAATGCTTTAGGGCAGGTTGGGCATTTAAAGGGTTTTTCATCTGCGTGGGCACTCTTTTCATGAAAAGTCAAGAGGTACTTCATTTTAAATGCTCTAGGGCAGGTAGGGCATTTGAAGGGCCTTTCATCCATGTGAACCATTTTATGAGCAGTCAACAGCTTTTTTTTTTTAAATGCTTTTGGGCAGACGGGGCACGTGAAAGGTTTTTCATTCATAGAAGTGCAAAGATTGAAACGGGTGTGCTTCTTCAGATTAATCTTCCACTTAAATGTTTTATGGCATGCAGGACATTTAAAGCACTCTTTGCTCCTATGCACCGCTTGGTGACACCCGAGGGAGCGTCGTGACAGGAAACTTTTGCCACAAGTGTTACATTCGTTAGGCATGTGAATCTTTTCGTGAGCAACCAAGCTTGCCTTCTGTGGAAACACTTTTTGGCAAGCAGAGCATACGAAAAGTCCCTTGGTCCTGTGAGCATGTGCATGAGCATCCAAAGCATAATTGCTTTTGAATGCCTTTGGACAGAGGTGGCAGTGGAAGAGTCGCTCTCCCGTGTGTGTCATTTCGTGCCTGGCCACGTTGCTTTTGAAGAAACTGGAGTAAGGGCAAAAGCGGCAGTCGTACACAATCTCCTCCTCCTGTCGACCATGCCATCCCTGGTTCAATAGTTCTCGGGAAGAGGATGAGCCACTTTTCTCGGTAGTATTGGAGCTCTCCCATGACACGTCAACCGGCTCTGCAGGAGACACACATCAGATGAATTACAGTTCCTCGAACTGAAGTGGGGGCAGGAAAAACGTCACACACCTCTCACTGTGAATACAACTGATTGGGTACTGAACGACTTGACATCAAAAGCTACAGCCACATGCCAATAATTTGCAAATTCAAGAAGAATGTGAAATGCTTCACACGAAACCTCTGACAGTGCACAAAACAAACTATGTGAGGTGGTGGAATAGCATGTCAAAACAACCTTAAACTATATTTTTTTCCAGGCATGCTGTTAAAAAAATGTTAACCCGAAATTATGAGACAATTTTGCAACACGTCCCTCCCCACCGCCCAAAAAAAATTAACGAGCAAGATTTTCAGCGATTTGTTTTGTAATAGACACTTTCCAAAAGTCCACCAAACAACACTGGTGGGGCATTGCTTCTTGCGTGAAGAGTGTAACTGAATCTGCGCCAAGCGCCGATGCAGCACCCGTGTTGAATAGATTAACACCAGAGTGCACTAAAAGCTGATAGAGAACTCGTGTCCGATGACCCTGGTGACGTCGGGCAACCGACGTCACCAGGGTCCTGCTCAGGACGCCTGAGCTTTCAAATTTCAGAACACTTCAGAATGTCCGGCATGGATCCTGGAATTTAATGACTATACTGTTATGGATCCGGACTCGTGGCTCGGCAGGAAGAAACCCAGGTGTGCATTCTTCCACTACGTCATGGGCCGCCAGGCTAAGCGAGTCTTCAGCAATTTTGGATTGTTGGAGGCCGACAACAAAGATTATGGCACCGTGAAGGGGAGATTCGACGTACACTTTCTCCAAGAAAGTGGCTTACAGGTCTGCGTCCCTCAACAGACGGGTATTGGGATCCACGGAAACCGGGAACCAATATGTCACCAAGAAGTACAACACGGTGAACAGGTACGGAAGCCTTCGTGACTGTCTGATTTGCGACCACTTTATTCTTGGACTGAGAGACAAGGCATTCTCGGAAGCTCTGCAGTTGGACATTGCTCTCACCCTCACGTCAGCACTTGCAACGGCACGACAGAAAGAGCGTTTGCCAACAGCAGTAGCTGTTGAAAGATACCAAAACACAAGCGTCTCTCAAGACTGAAGATGCCGGCCTGGACGCAGTGGCTTGCAGCAAATGTTCGTTAAACAAACAAAGCAGCTTTCAATTTTCTTTCAAGGCGAAACGAATGCCAAAAACAATGCAATCGAATGGCACGTGCAGTTTCTGTAGAGGGTCGTTTCACAATCATTCCGAGCGATTTGGTGCAAGACCAAGGGTCACTACGCACGCGTCTACTCAAAAATGCCTGAAGAAACGAAAGGCATCTCCTCGCTGGTTCAAGCACAGGCACCAGCAGCTCTCCTCAGTGAAATCGAACAGCTGAGTGGGCAGCAAGAGGCCAGGTTTGTGACAGTAGCCGTGAACAATGTTCCCCTGACTGCCAAGATCAACACCGGCGCAAAGGTCTCAGCTGTTCCAGCCTCCTTTCTGGAAATACCCTCCTCTGGTCTGCACTCAACCGAGGTCCTTTTCGGAACGAGCGGACATGCGCTGCAAGTGTTGGGAAAGTTTGATGCTGCAATGAGGTGGAAAGACAAGCCCTCAAGGTAGATTGTCTACGTTGTTAAACAGCTTCGTTCTGCTCTTCTCGGTTTGTCAAGACTCAAAGATGTGGAACTTGTCAAGTTTCTCTGCAACACCGAAGACCCCAACATGCGCTTTGCCCATCTGTTCAACGACCTAGGGGCCCTTCTAGGCGAGCACATTAACCGTTTGGACTCTGCCACGGTACCATTCTCGCTGAGTGTATTACGAGAGGTTTTGTCGTCCAGGAGCTGCAAAAGATGGCAGATCAGAAAATCATCCATCCAGTTGAAGGCCCAACGGGCCGGTGTGCTGGGTTGCTCGTGTCCAGAAACTTTCTGGAGACTTTACACACCTTAACAACTCTGTCTTAAGAGTGTGGTATATTCTTCAAATCGTGGAAGAAATACTTGGTCAGCTGGGGGTGGCAAGTCTGTTTTCCAAAGTGGATGCTATTCCGGGTTTTACCAGATCCATTTCCGTCTATCGTGCCAAGAGCTGACCAGCCTCATTACTCTAATTGGTCATTTTTGCTTCACACGACTTTCTTTTGGGATAACGTCAACTCTGGAATACTTTTCAAAACGCATGTCAGAGATCTTGAGCGGGCTGCCAGGTGTACTCAACCTCATAGATGACGTGCTTGTCTTCGGCAAGGGTCAAGCTAAACAAGACTCAGTCCTTCACGAGACACTCGAGCAGCTCGAAAAAGCTGGAGTCAACCTTAACAAAGCCAAGTGCGTGTTAAGCACCAACAAAGTTACCTTCCTTGGATGTGTCATCTCCCGCCACAACATTCGACCGGACCCATGAAAGGTCAAGGCTATCCAAGAGCTTCCAGCTCCTGAGGATCCGGCCGGTGTCCGTCAAATCCTGGGAATGGCGAATCACTTGGCAAGGTTTCTCCTCAACTCGGCACAGAAGACAACTCCCCTCCGAGAACTGCTTCAAAATTTCCGAGTTGGTCTGGGGTCCACCACAGAAAGCCGCTCTACAAAGCATCAAGGATCTCACTGATGCCTTGAATTCAGTGCTTTCACATGCGTCTGATGCACTTCATCTACAAAATGCAGTATGTACCCGACAAGAGCATATGATGGCCAATAGTCTTTAAAGCGCTTCGGTGAATGAGGAGGAGCCTGCAGAAATGCTGAGCTGCACTGAAGTCCAATCTTTCACCATTGGAGCAATGATGGGATTCCGAAGCTGCACTCTTAATCCGGTGAAAGAAGCCCAAGAGAAAGACCAGGTGTGCCAGATAGTACTACTGGAGTACTGGAAAAACGAAAGGCCAGCAAAACCAAGACTTTCAGTCAACTTGTCACCTTTTTGGCAGTAGAGGGGAAACCTGTCTTACTGCAAAGACCCTTTGCTTTGTGGAAGTTGCCTGGTCATCCCCAGTTCCCCTCAACAGGAAATGTTGAACTGACTTTACAAGGAACATTAAAGAAGATGCTGCACGTAACAAGCAAAAGAAGCCGTCTGGCGGCCAGGCTTGTCGTCCAAGCTGACAAGAGTGGTCAATAACTGCTCAGTATGCTCGAAGAGTCGCAAACAAAACGCCAAGCCTCTTGTGCCATCGGTGACGTCTTCTCTGCAAACGGCAAATGGAGGGACTGGATTTGTTCCAGCTATGGGGCAAGGAGCATTTGTAGCATTTGCTCCATGTTGACCACGGGTCTCGCTTTCCAGATTGCATACTTGTCATGAACAAAAGCGGAGGCTGTCATCGAATGCCCAAGAGCATATATGCTTGCCATGGCATACCGGTGATAGTATTGAGAGACAATCGTTCACAATTCTCATGTGAAGCTTCCGCAGACTTCACCCAGAACCACAGTTTCCAGCACACAACCGGCAGCCCCCATCATCCTCGGGCGAACGGAGAGGGACGACTACTCAAGAAGGCGGAAGGTCCGTATTTAGCTCCGCTTGTCTACCGCGACACTCCAGGACCTACAGGACCAAGTCCAGCAGAGCTCATCGTGGGACGACAACTGCACACGCAGATCCCAGTGTACCCAGCGCTCCTGGCTCCGGGTCAAGTCAATAATGAGCTTGCAACTAGACACGACTGCCTCGTCAAAGAGCGCCAAAGGTTGCGCCTCAGTTGCCGCCACGCAGCATGATGGCTACCGAGACAGCATCCTGGAGTGGTTGTGTGGGTGAAGGACCTCAAGTGCTCAGGGGAAGTTCCTCACCAAGCCAACACCCCCAGGTCGTACTGGGTTAGGACCTCCAGAGGGGAAGTCCGGCGTAACAGAAGAGCACTCAACAAACTTCCAATTAGTTCAGGGCAAGAAAAGGTGATGTGGTTGCGCAATATGTAGTCGCACTTAAAAGACCCGCATTTTCCTCTGCTGAACGTCGCGGCAGAGGAGTAGGGCAGCAAGAGCAACTTACCTTGCTTTACGACAACGGGTGATGTCTGGACTTCATTTGTGGGCTCGTGTGAAGCAGACGGGTCATGACAATCTTCACAGTCAAAATCCCTCTGGGCCAAAGTGGCACCTGCATCATCTGCCTCTACGGGAACAAATGCGTACAAAATATTTATCTGAAACAGGCAAGGTGCAAGGCACATAAAACACAGAAACCTAACCACTACCATAAAATCCAGTATGAATGCCGTCCCCCGAGAGATCGCCCATCTCGTTTTTCTGGCTATAGGCTAACCACTCCAAAACATTGACCACCCTCAATTTCCGTCGAACATCATGCGACGTCCGACGAGAATTACATCTATGGCGCATTCTCAGTTACCAGTTTCCGTGACAAACGTGTTTATCGCATGGCGAATCTGCTGCGTCCCTGATCTGCCGTATCAGTTCCCACGACAAGGGAGTTCCCAGCAAACTACCGCATGTTTATCACACCACGGAACCCAACTTTGTCGTGTCCGCAATCTGCAGTATCGGTTACCGTGTCACGTGGCTGATAGCAGGTGCCCCCCCCATGTTTATCACTCATTTCTGATAAACTTTTGTTGTTGCATCCCCAAGGATCGCCTACGCCATAATTTTCACCCTTTATCTGTTGACCATGGTTGGGTGTTTAATTGAAATATTTTACACTATGTTGACTTTGTTTGATTCCAGCTCTTTCTTCAAGATTGTAGGTTGTTTCAAAGCAAGAGAACACACACCATCACACTATGCTCTGTCCTTGTCACGACAGTGGAAGGCATCATCAAGTGGAAGAGCCCCTGAATGGAATGACTGCAATCGCAGCATAGCTTGCCTCGCTTGATGTCCGCGGGGCTGCTCTCACAGCGTCTCTCCATGTGCACTTGCAGTAAAGACTCGGAGCCTGAGGGCGCATACCATGAGGCCTCGGAGGTTTCAGGAGCAGCCCAGTCAATTTGCTCTTTAGAAAAAGCAGAACACATCCTTATGCAAAAACATTAAAACAAATGAAACAGATTCACTCATCTCGACAAACGTTCTAGAATTTGCAGTTATTTATGCCCGGCATCAACTATTTCGTGTCACATTGCCAAGGCTAGCGCGGCTTGCACGGTGCTGCAGCCCTGGACTGTTACAAGAGCACATGGCTTCCATCCCGCGTCTCCTTTGCGCGTGCTTATGTCAAATCCCGGACCAGGTGGATTTTTTGTTGCTGCAATACACCAGTCGCCTAGAGGGCACGAGTGGCACTTCTTTCACGCAAAATTACTAACTTATCTTCTCACAAAACAATTTATCTTAAGTTTTATCAATTTATCAAAGCCTCGCAGCATGAAACATGCCGAGTTGTGCTTTTGCTTTGAAACAGAACCAGCCACCGGGGTCTATAAAGCTTGCCTGTTTTAACTGAAACAGCACTGTCCCCGTGTTCCTCCAGATGTGGCGGAGCGGTCGATGCACAACCATAGTCGTCCAAATGCATGTTTTCGCTCGGTGGAGAAGGCGGTGTCTCTTGGGGCTCTGTTGAGGATGACAATGCACAAACGTTAGTGCAAGTCGTGTCAGAAGGAAAGCCTTGTTCATGTGCCAAAATAGAAGGCTCGAGGTACACCTAAGCACTTCTTATGAGTTGTGAATGTAAAAGCATGCACGCCGCTCTTCGCTCCCTTTAATCTGCGGCATACAACGCACCGACCTTGGGCGCGGAATGGTGGAGCCGCTGCCTCGTGGACACGCAGCGCCATCGAGAGTGATCGTTCAAACTGTCGTGTGCCTTGCCACGCGAGCAGGGAACAGACAGCAAAGTAGTTCCCAGCAGAACAAACCCCTTGGTTTATCCCATGCGCCGTATATATTGCCAGGCGCCGTACAACCGATAAGAGGCGAGCGAACGCGGTGATCAGTGATAACACAACAGTGTGATAACACAGCCAGGATGACACCACACAAACTGACGCGCAGTGGCCAATGGGAGCCATGTCGACGCTCGCCAGCCATTGGGACCGAAGTGTAAAAGGTGCCATTGGCTAGCTTTGTGTGTGGTTTCATTAAGGTGCCATCTTGCATGATGACGGCTCGCTCCATGAGACAGGTAATGCTTTTTGATCAAAAACATGCCCACCTCCGTAATAACAGCATAAATCTACAAAAAAGCGAAAATACCCTACTTGTTTAACGAGGCAGCTAACTGTCTGTATTCCTTGGTCAGCCATATACAAAACGGAGTGTGCAAGCACAATCAGAAAGAAAAAAACTCGCAGCGACCTTTTTCCAGTGGGAGGGGGGGGGAAATCGCTATGCATTATTTTTTTTATTTTTGGTAGGTTGCAGGGTAGCAGAGTTTGAGAAGCGCTGCCATAAGCAGAGACCACATATTTTCTTGTTTTCTTCGTACACTTTGCCCTGTGCTTTTCCAAAACATGATAAGATTTGAAAGGCCTTCTGAAAGAGTTGCTTCAGTTAAGACAAAAATGTTAGGCCAGCTCACCTTCTTTAACTGCAATAGTGCTGTACCACTGCCCCTCGAGATGAAGATTGGAAGGGGGCATCCTGCCACCATCTTCGAACTCTGCACGTTCATCCATCAGGGTGGGAGAACCTCCCAGGGCACTGCAGAGCCAGAGAGCACGAAAATGTTACCCACCAGTGTGAAGAGAAATGCATCCTTCTTTGCCTGCTGGGGGAAAATCCATTATGCAAAAGAAGTAATACAATAAGACAGAAAAACACTTTTTATGATTTGATGGCTCCCATGTTGCAGAGGACAAGCAAAGAAAGCGAGGGCTGTTTGTAAAGGGCATGCTTTCTGGTCTATTAAATGCTTACAAAGTTATTCAATGGTGCCTACACACACAAAATCTCGGAAAAATGGTGGGTAGTAGCTAACAGAAACAGAGATCTGCCAATACTAGAAGTATTCTGCTTCTTGCTCATCTCACTAACCATGCAGACATTCGAAGAACACATTAAATGTGCTTCCAGAGTGGGTGATTTAAAAACCACTTCAAACATATTTTGGCAGAAAACATGCATGACTCCAGCTCGCAGATGTATTGTCCCAGTCCTTTTGCCAAGCTTGATCATCACAAATGCTGCAATGCAAGGGCTGCCACTTTCCTGGAAAAATGCTCACCGGAGAAAAGCTCACTTACTTTTGTGCGGATCCGGACAAAAGCACCAGTTTTTTGACAGACCCAAAGAAAAGCTCAACTCAAATTAAATTATTATGCAAAGTGGTCATTATCTTTGAGTAACAGTAGCACTACCACGGTTCTTGGAGCGTTTCAAGCAGGTGTTATACTGTGCAAAATTGCTTGATGCAAAAAATTGCATCAAGCAATTTTTTGTATTTTACTTAGAAAAGGGGCATCAAACTTTTATCGCATAAGTTTGTGCCCTGAATAAGCAATTTCCACCGCAGAAGTAATTTTCTTTGCAAACACGCAAGAAAAAAAAAAAGCTTATTGTTCATGTTGACAGTCTCACACAGTGTATACACTCTGCATCAAATCACTCTGTTATGGGGAAAAAAAAATAAAAAAAAAAATATATATATATATAATTTTTTTTAATTAGTTAAATTTATTTGATTTAAATCAGACTATTATCTCCGTAGCTAGAAAATATTGATTATTTATCACTATATGCATTTCTAGACACTGAAGGTTGCTTGATCAATTTGATCAATGCAATTTTAACAATAATTTAAAAACATAGTACAAGAATAAAAACAGCTTAGTAGTTTTTTGTTAACGAAAAAGCCGTACTGGCTTTTCTTTTTCGAGATCTGTTTTTCTTGCAATCCTACATTACTTTCCTAGTTTTCGTTTCTATATGTTGTGTACTGATTCGACTGCAAAAAGTTGTGACGATGAACAAAGTCGATTCGGGGGTAGAAATAAAGATAAATTTGTCGATTTGCCCTGAAGACCACTGCTTTTTGCTTGTGTTCAGTCCGATATCTTTCTTGTGTGATGATTTTTTAAAATTTAAATACAGAACATATGCACATAATGAAAGCATTTACGGACGGTACATTAAAAAAATGTATTTTGGGAATTATTTGATTGAAATCATCCTAGTAAAACCGGTCCGATTTAAATCCCAATTTAAGTCATCTTGATTTTTATTCTCAACCCTGGCTATAGCCCTTGTTCCGCTTCTATGCCAACCCATTTAGCGCAAGATTTACCATATTTAATTCTGATGTAGCCAGGATGAAGGAAATGCGGCCTCTTTTTCATTTTTTGTTCGAATAAGCTAAGAATTGAAAACACTGCTCTTGTAAACAAAAGGTGAAATGTAGAGATCTGGCAATGAAATGTCATTTTATAAATAAATATACAGAAACTACTGAACCTGCAGCCCTCTACACCGGCTATGTTTCCCCAGATTATTTTTTTTAATTAGCATTCTATCGAAAATTTTGTTTTATTTTCGTCGGGCAACGCCTAATATGTTATAGGACGTTTTTATATTTTAAAAAAAAATTCTGCTATACTCCGTTCACCACCAGGAAGAGACTGCAGCCAATGCCACAAGCTTAAGAGCTCGAGGTCACTGTTCTAAAGCGGTCTCCTGCAGAAGGACTAGCGCTAGAAATGCATGCCTCAAAGCCAAGAGCACAAGCTAGCTCGCGCTTGTAGCTTTGGCTGCAGTCTCAGCTTAAAGGGGCACTGACACCCCAAAGGTCTTTTTTTTTTTTTTTATTCTTTAAAACGATGCAAGTTGTAGTTGTAAACACGCAAAAAAAAAAACATCTCGAAAAAACATCTCACTGCACGCGCCATTTTTCCGCCCTTCCCTCCCGCTCCTCACCTCCTCGCTTCGTTTGATTGGTGACATCAAAAATCATGAAATTTAAAAGCTTTGTAGACGACATTTCTATAACATTTAATAGCGGCAATCGTAAAACATGTTTCTTAAAGCAAGTGCAAACGCACTACGGCCCTTCTATTTGAAATACCAAAAATCAGAGTACGGTGTGATGTCGCTTCTTGGATTTGTATCCTCCCTCGGAAAACTTGGCGGTGCTCCAGCAGAAGAAGATGATCGGTGGGTCGGGGAACCAGATGAAAAAACCGGTTTTTCACCGGTTGTTATCCGAACCGGTTTCGGATAACAAAAACAAATATGATCTTGATGTGTCAGTGCCCCTTTAAACGCTGACGCACAACCTCGGTTTTCTGCAGGGAAGATAACTCCCATAGCGCTCTCCTCTCCTAAGCCACGAGGGGAGGCAACTTGGGGCAAGGTAAAAAGTGGAGAGGACATAAGGAAGGAGGAGGCGAGGAAAAGTGGAAAGCGCGAAGTGTACGTTGGCCTTTAAGGGTGAACAGTATACTGACGTGCAGAATGACCACATGTGCATAAGGCATCTCAGCATACTTCAGTTGAGTGAACATATTTCACTTGAGTGAATTCTCGATTCTTATCGTAGATAAGCTTTTCTCCGCGTCCGTCAAGAGGCCGGTGAGCTTTTCTTCTCATCAGCCAGTTTTGCGGTGAGCTTATCTCTGGGGAGCTTTTCTCCGGTGAGCTTGTCTCCGCCGCCAGGAAATTCCATACACTCACTCAGCAACTTCAACAGGACGGCTTCAATCATGCACAAACACTATCTGCGTCCATTCTCCAACACCATTATCATAAATACCTTTCAGAGGATATGTATTGGTGCTATGTCTGAACCGATAAGGTGTGATCGCCAGAGTCTGCTTCAGGGGTTTATCCAGCTAGGTTTGACAACCTGTTTCCATTCGTTTTATACGAGTTTAGCGGAGTGCGTATAGCCATTTCGACCGAAATGCACTCCGGAGTGCGTATAGCTTTATTCTTACATTATAGGTTATTTTGTGTACTTTGTGAAGGAAATTAAAGAGGAGATTGTTGGCCCGGGGGGGGGGGGGGGGGGGGGGGGGGATTTAATCAGTGGTATACTAACCGACACGATTGCACGGCAAATGTTAGCACGACAAATGTTAGCACGGCAAATGTTACCAGCGTCACCCTCAGCAGTCGGAGTTGCTTGGAAGCGTCATTCGGCGCAGTGGTGGTTAGGCGCGCTTTCTGTTTTTGCAGTCCTTCTACGAAATGCCTCTAGGGTACGTCTTGGGAACCGGACGGATCAAACGCACCTTTCACTGCGTTCCCCCGCAGACACTCCAGCACGCAACAGCGAACCAAAGTGACACCAATTAACAAAACTAACAGCTGGGCACGCTGGATTGGATTGTCTTGTTTGATAAATCCTCATCCTGGAACGCAAATATGACCTATTCTTTGATAACAAATCTTTTTCTAAGAAAAAAATGAAATTATCTTATGTGAAATAAGTTCAAACTTATTTGGCAGCAAGAAAAAGGACTTACACTTTTAGAGCCGAAACTGTGAATTCACTACAATCACTACAATTCTATAGGCACGTAAACACGACAATCCAATCCACCTTGTGACCTTGTCGAGCTTTGTTTTTGTTTATGCGTGCTCTGTGCAAATGTGCAAGTCCTTGGCTAAGTGGCCACTAATCAGGGAATGTGGCGATTTTTTTGAGCCCATGGATACCGTGAAATGGATGGGAATACCAGGGGGTGGAAACCAATTCATCGATAGTTGCTTTGCTGCCGCGGGTCCACACCTAACGCAGGTGGCATCCCTTCGTTCATCGCAGCCCGCACGACTGTAGGGTAAACAACGAGCAGATCGTACCCCGTGTATTTTCTACAGCCTTTTGCGTGGTGCAGTGTTTGCGGGAGTGCAGAGATGAAATTCCGCGCCTACAAATGTGGTGCTTGTCACGTCGACGATGTGTGACGGGTACGGGCGATTAACGGGGCACATACAAGACGCCTATTCAGCGATGCAGTTTTAAGAAACTCTGACGACGAAAGTCTACGAAATGCAGCACCACAACCAAGCCGGTAAGTATAGCTACTGTCTGTCGCTCTTTTCACCGGTCGAAACAGCTCATTCTAACCTCGCGAAGTACCATAGTTCCATATGGACTTGCCGGTGCCGGAGTGCTGTTTCCACGGTACCTTACACGCTGAGAGTATGGTTTCTATCCAAATATGCACAATGAACTGATTTGATTAGATGTGATGTCCGCATAAAGACGGCATAATTGGCAAATGCGTAAAACACAGGTAGAAGGGTCTTTGGAATAGCCTGCTGCAGCCAGTGTTGGGAAGTACCACGAGTTTTAAGGACTTACACTTTTAGAGCCGAAACTGTGAATTCACTACAATCACTACAATTCTATAGGCACGTAAACAAGACAATCCAATCCACCTTGTGACCTTGTCGAGCTTTGTTTTTGTTTATGCGTGCTCTGTGCAAATGTGCAAGTCCTTGGCTAAGTGGCCACTAATCAGGGAATGTGGCGATTTTTTTGAGCCCATGGATACCGTGAAATGGATGGGAATACCAGGGGGTGGAAACCAATTCATCGATAGTTGCTTTGCTGCCGCGGGTCCACACCTAACGCAGGTGGCATCCCTTCGTTCATCGCAGCCCGCACGGCTGTAGGGTAAACAACGAGCAGATCGTACCCCGTGTATTTTCTACAGCCTTTTGCGTGGTGCAGTGTTTGCGGGAGTGCAGAGATGAAATTCCGCGCCTACAAATGTGGTGCTTGTCACGTCGACGATGTGTGACGGGTACGGGCGATTAACGGGGCACATACAAGACGCCTATTCAGCGATGCAGTTTTAAGAAACTCTGACGACGAAAGGCTACGAAATACAGCACCACAACCGAGCCGGTAAGTATAGCTACTGTCTGTCGCTCTTTTCACCGGTCGAAACAGCTCATTCTAACCTCGCGAAGTACCATAGTTCCATATGGACTTGCCGGTGCCGGAGTGCTGTTTCCACGGTACCTTACACGCTGAGAGAACTAGGTGCACCTCCACCGGAAAAGGCTATACACCAACTCATCTCCGTGACGTCACGGCGCGGTGGTGGCGCGTCGGTCGCACTTCCGGTCTGGGGCTGTGGGCAGAAGTCCCCATGCCAGACGTGTATTCCTGTGTTGTTTTGAAAAGAACCAGACAAAAACCTGTCTTCTCGTCAAAACGCCGCGACTGGGGCCGTACCAAAAGTGTCGAGAAGGTTTGAAGGTCAGTTTTCAGGTGCTCGGTTCGTCCGAGAATCAGGATATGTGCCGTAAAAAGGGAAAAGCAGACGCCTTCGGACAACGATTGCTTGGGCGGGAAGCACTTTGGGTTGAATTCACAGATACTTGGGGTCATCAGATTTATTTGTGTTGTTGCAACATAAACGCCAGAAAGCCATCAAGTTGTGCGGACCACCTGCGGACTACGTTCAGTGCGTCTTCAGGTTCAAACGGCCGCCTGATCGTTCGAGCTGTCGTCTGCTCTCTCAAACGTTTCTGCTTGTCGTCTGCTCTCTTAGACTACGCCGGCCCGTATATGTTGGCCCGGTACTTGCGATAAGAAGTAAGTGCAGGCCTCAAAAGACTTACGTTTGAAGGTTGGTAAGCAGGCTCGATGTAAACAGTAAATACAAGATGTTGATCATTGTTACCAGTGACTATCACTGACTATCTATGCCTAAATGACTTGGTCCGATTCTGCTTGCGATTTTCAGTATCGACGCCGACCATCTCAGCTGCAGTTCACGCTTTTGTAGCCCGAGCGGCTTCGCGACTGAAAATTGCGAGCGAAATCTCATCATGCGAATCAGGTTTTAGCGTACATACTGCGGCGTCCACGCGGAATGAATCGCCACATGTCACATTATTCACGCGAAGTTTCGCGGTGTAACAAGCCTCGGTAATTTCGCTGATGCCGCTCAAGTAGTCAGACATCGCCAGGAAGACGTAAAATCAACAATTCGAACACGAAAAAGAGCAGGGGGACTCACACCGACGCCGATAACATCGCATTTCAATGGTTTGTCTATGGGCGACGGCGAGCTTCTTGCCCACACCCCCCTCGCGCATGCGCGGCGCCGGTGACGTCCGCTAGGGGCGCTCCGGTTTGTTTGTAAACGTGAGTTGGTGTATACGCGCTGCGTGGAGAGCTTATGCCATTAGGGTCGCTTCTTTTTGGACGGCGCGTGTATCATTGGTGAGCTCGGTCACTTGGCCAACACAGGAAAGTGTGCTGCCAGTGCTGGTTTGCTGCAATTAACTTATGGTACGTGCTGAGGAAGTGTAGTCAGAGAATGAAAAAAGAGCAGAAGCTACATATCGTGCAGACTCCCTTGGACAAGATGAATTGCTCGTGCACCGACCTCGGCCACTTATTCTCAGGCACTGAATTTAAGGGAAAAAAGAATTAATTGAACAACATGGGACAAAGGTTTATCAGACTAGGATTGCAGAGATTATTGTAATTTGTGCTGCTATTACACTTGCGGAACGAGCATGGAGGCAACATGGCTTGAGTAAGCTTATCACTGCATGAATCTCGTACTGAAACTGATCGGGTGCATGCCGTGTGGTGTTACTTTAATAGATTACTTTCATATCATATTGCCAATCAAAGCATTGGATTAAAAGAAATGTCTAGCCTGCCAATTTAAATACACAGTGCTTGTATACAAATAATATTGCAAATACTCTTTGTATTCATCTAGTAAGCAGTGGCCGAAAATGGCAGGCCATATATGATTCAAGTCTGTAGGTGGTTAGAACTGAATCGTGGAGCTGTTGTGTCGGAGTTGTTTGTGCGTTGCTGTCCTACTTACATGTATATGCCTTTACCAGTGTATGGTATGTTGGTAGGTGTTTGTGTTGTGTATGTATGGTACATGTGCTGATGTATGAATGTGCAACCTTGAAAAGCCCCAAATTAAAAAAGCCTTTTTTTAGCACTATTTGGCAATTTTTGCTCTACTTTGTAGGTGGTGCAAGCTGCGGCCTGATTCAAGAAGCTGAGCGTCCAGCTGTCATGTATCTATTGATTTACAAACATCTGGCCTACTAGACTCCCTACCTCTCAGTTCAATAACAATCATAATATATGAAGCCACTGGAAGTAAGCGGCTTGTCCTGGAAGTGAGCGCTTGACAGGCTCTCCAAGTGTTACGAGTGTTGATAGAAACAGTGCCCAAGGCTCTGAATTTGCTTTTATCTGAAGAGGGCCTGCTGGTTGTGCAGTAAGAGTTCATTCAGGCCCGAGAAGTCTTCTGGGAAGCCATTTGATGTGCGAGAAATTCAGCATTCTAGTTGGATCAAATGTACATGCCCCGTTTTTAAATGTCGCATTCTCAACATCAAACGTTAAAAAGAATTCTTAACCCTTTCATGGGCGACTTTTTTTTAGGCCCCGTGGTGAACTTTTTTTTTCTCTTTCACATGAAATTATTTTAATAAGAGATCTGTGCCAAGTTAATCTTTTTTCCACAAAGCACAAAAAATATACCAGGGTGGGAAATATGCTTCCCATGGCCCAGCAGCTGCTGAAGGAATAGTCAAGCAATTATTTTATAGCTGAAAAGAGGAAATGCGTGAGTTGAAACTCACTTTTCTGCAACTCAGTGTACTCTCTTCTTTTTCGAAGCCATCTAGAAACGAAAATCATTGCTTCTTTCAAGAACTAAAGCTCTGACACCTGCGTGGGAGAAGATTGCTCCTAGGCCACGGCGACTATACTTCCCGTTTTGACAAATACTGAGAATGTTGCTTGTGGCACATGTGCTTTCAAACTATTCGATTCATATTTGATTGCTCAGAGCGCATGATTAGTAAGTTTTGAAGGTTATATACATTGTAAAGCTCCGATCATCAGCAGATACCAGAAGCCAGCCTCACAAGTGCAAAAGCCTGTGAACGCTGTGCAGGGGAACATTTTGGAAAAGTACAGCTTTGTTTCGCATCGCCCAGTGATACCAGTATATATTTTTCTTGCTTGACACGTCTTCCGCTAGATGATGGCACAGTACAATGGTGGGAATTCGCCTTCCCATGAGCCCAGTAAACATCAAGCATAGGTGAGAAGTATATATCCCTCTGCCAATGAAAGGGTTAAAACCCACATAAAAATGCAAGAAAGCATGACGCAAAACATTAACTAAGTGCACTATAAAGTGCACTTAGTTAATTTTGTCAGTTTTCGTACCTTGCCATTGACAATAACAGACTGGAATAGGGGGTATTCACTGGACGCCATATTTGAGGTAACTGCTGACAGCGCATGCTCGGGAGGAGTTTCCCGTCAGCTTTGGACAATCACAAGAGAAGA